GTTGAGTGTTCAGTCAACTGGAATAAAGCAGTAAGTCAGTTTCTTGATAGCAGAGGGGAAGCGGGACAAATCACCTTGACAGAGGAGAAAGAAAAGGGCACAGCAGAAGTTGAAAGATGAGGAGATGAGATCTGTAATAGATGTTCTTCTCTATTTAGTTTAGATTCAGTTTTTTTTCCCCAGCTGCCTGACATCTACAGAGATGAACGGTGGTCTGCTGGGGTGGGTCAAGCTGAACCGTCAGCTGTAGTTGTAACCTCTGACTGTTTGAATTGAAAGTATTTTTCTCCTCCAATTATTCAGCTTTCTTTTCAGTCCTGATCTGTGCTCGGGGTTGGGTATACAGGGATTTACTGAGGGGGGCGCTTATCATACAAATGTCCTGTGGACACAGACTCTACAGATGAACTCATGTTTTTTTAGTTTTTTTAACTTGTGTTTTTTTTTAAAGAACTATTGCACTTAGACATTATTTACAATATAATATTAAAAAGTGCTATTTATAAGGAGTGAATGAATTTCATGTCATATGTGCTGTGCTTGAAATATACATTATACTAGGGCTGGGTATCTTGGCCAATTCTCTGAATCGATTCAATTTTGATTCAGTAAGTTCTGAATCGATTGATCACGATTCGATTCGATGAAAATGTTTATTGATATTGTATTTTGCAACTGTGTTATTATATTAATATCACCATTTTTTTCTCTTCAACATAAACAACAGGTTTTAAGGACAAACTTTTAAATTAAACTGCTTGATCTTGAAATAAAAATTTCACAAGTATAAAAGGTTTTAAGGCCCCCACATAGTGCTGGGCGATATGGAAAAAAAATCATATATCACGATATGGACTTTTTTATACCACAATAACGATATCATGATATACCACAATTAACTTAGTATGTTTTCATTTTTTGAAAAATATAACAAAATATTATCATTGCTTACTTTTTCCAACTTTATTTCCAAGTGACATTAAATGAAACTTTCACAAATGAGAATTACTGTTTTAGTGCAGAAATGTATCAAATAACAGATGAGGTAGAGGTACAGATACAGATACAGTTGCCTTCATATTTTTTTCAAAATTATACAGGTATTTAAATTGAATTAATTAAAATAAACTCAATTTTTAACATTTTTTAAAGTGCACATTTCAAGTTTCTAAAGTTTCTGAACAGAAAAAACAACAACACATTTTAACACAAAAACTTGTTATAAAAAGAAACAAGTTTTCAAGTTTCTGAAATCTGTAAGCTTATAGTGTAAAGTCTGCAAACCATATAAGCGAGGCAACTCGACTTGACTGAAATGTTTGCGGCTGGGCATAATGTACCTCGGGTCAAGGACTTTGACGAGGTCTCGGAAGCTGTCCTTCTCAACTACATAGACGGAGGTCATGCCTTTACGTATGTAATGCGAAATGGCAACTGTTATTTGTTTATGGCGCTGGGATGTTTTTTTTCATATGGCGTGCCTCACGCTAAAGTCTCCGTTATCTTGGGCTAGCTATGGGTTTTCTTTTTGCAACTTTTTCCGGACGTTTCACAACTTGCTTTACCTCGCACTTTTTGGATTCTGATGTGTTCTTTTTCGTGGTTCTTCTTCAGGTGATAGAAGAGGTTGTGTTGGCGTCGAGTGAGGGAACGGCCTTGTGACAAAGTTTGCAGATTACCATTTTCTGCTCTGTGTCAGACTTCTTGAATCCAAAATGTAACCAAATAACAGACGTTCCCCCTCTTTTTGGTAAAAGTCCTTCTTCTTGGGCTGCCTGCATAGCTGTTTCTGCTTCTGACGCCGACGGAGATGCTACCTCATGCTCCTGCGTCTCCATTGTTTAGCTCTCGAGTTTGAAACGTAAAGCATGTCGCAAACCCGCGTGTCCATCAAATAACGTAAAGCAGCGTCATGTCGCAAAACCACAGTATGAAGTTTCTTTGCTTCTTCTTTTCTTCTTCTTTTGTTTCTTTCAAAAGTTATTTTTTATTCTTATTTATCACATATATAAACTTAGTTTATGCAAAGTAACAACACCAATACATTTCATCGTAGCCTACTTTATATATTTGCATGAATAATTAATAAAATTATTTTAGAAACGATAGAAGGCAAGTAGCACAATAGACACTTTTCTATCGTCCCCACGATAGATATCATCATGTTGCCCAGCACTACCCCCACATACTCGGGCGCACTTTGGTCCGCGGAGGTCGGAGGTCCGCGCGGACTCAATGTGGACCTGAAGCGGACATCCGCGGACTGGTCCACGCAAAGATCAATTTTTTACGTCCGAGGTGCGCACAGTGGCATGTACTGTTCTGGGTGCGACACCAAGCTGATAAAGTTGAGAATCGTGTCATTTGTGGACGAAATGGAGTCAAATCTTGTAAAGCGTCTCATGGAGGAGATTAGAAAACTTTATGATGCGTCAGTGAAGGAATATAAAGACTTTCAGCGAGCAACAAATTTGTGGGAGGAAACAGCTCAGATCCTGGGTAAGGTAGTTCTTTTCTTTTTTTCTTTTATTGTTTTAAAGCTAAAATGCAAACTATCTCTTCCTCCTGATCCTTGACATCATGACTGAAATTACGAGAAATTAAAGAATTCGTCAGGCGCTCAGTAAGCTCGAGTATGAAGTCTCAACCGTCTGCGGACAATATGCGCGGAGTCCGTGCGGCTCATGGAATGCGCACAGTACGCCCGAGTATGTGGGAGCCTTTAAAGTAAAAAGGAATTACAGGTGACAGTGTTGTTGGATGCATTCATTTTTAAGTAATTAATAATAATTTTGATAAATAAAAAGTGATGGGAATAAGGTTGCAGGAGAAGAGGTGGGCTAATATAAATATACTTCTGCCCACTCCTTTTGTGTGTATGAAAAATTGTGAATGGATGGTCTGAACTGTAATTTTATTGTGCTCTGTACAATGACAATCAAGTCTCATCTCGTCTCGTCTCGTCTCATCTCATCTCAAAACTGTATATTTGTAATGTTTCTGTTACCTTCTGTTATGTTTATTAAAAAATATTAAAACTTAATGCAAAAACAACCACAAAATGTCATCACTGTGGATTTCATTAAGACGTTTCTTAAAGTTTAAAAATAATATTGGTAACAAAACTAAACAATTTTGTTAGAATGTCATCTTTAAGACATTTAAACATGCCGGTGGAGAACAGTTTGTCAGATGTTTACACACCATAGTTTGGTTTGAGCGCCTACTGAGCCGCTCGTCAAACCCCGCTTCATTTTCGCTACCATGTAGGAGCGCAAATCTTTGCAAAGAAAAGTCACCATGGTCTCTGTTATCTTTAAGTTCTGTGGCGAGTTGGCTGGTAACGTTAGAGATTCCTTAGTTTATTTTGTTTTGCTCCAGACAACTTATTGAAAGCTAATGTTAGCACTGAATGTCAACCGGATGTAGCAGGCCAGGAGTGACAAAATATAGAAACGCGCCTCAGACGTGCGTACAAGAAGCCATGAGGAAGAATCTTTCTCATGTCCTGTGAATCGATTTTCACAAATTTAAATGAAATCGATCCAAGATCGATTAAATCATTTTTTATTACCCAGCCCTGTTATATACTGTTAGATGAATTGTATCCACTGTAGATTTGATAAAGTAAAATGTGTGAAGTATAAAACTGCTTGAGATTATCGAAATGTTTGTGTATAAACTAGTGCTGGGCATAGATTAAAATATTTAACCAAGATTAATCTCAAGATATTTTTGCAATTAATTACAATTAATTTGTTAGAAACAATATGTTGCAATACACTTCACGTGGGACACTATGTACAGGTTTTTCTTTTTTTATCTTATAGCTTACTTTATTTATTTATTGCTGACAACTGTGACCTCAGTATCTATCTTTCTTTCCTCATTTGGAATAAAAAACAAAAAATTCTTGATTTAACCTCATTATTCTGCACAAAATATAACTGACTCAAAGATGTTTAGAGCATTTTTATGTACTGTTTTATATTTAAAAACAGGGCAAATATAACTTGAAATAAATAAGGCAAAACAAGTCGATCTTATTTTTTACTTTTTTCCTCTTCCCTCACATGCTGACCAGTGTCGTATGCAGAACCTCCCTCTGTTTGTTTACGCTGGTTTTAAACTGAAGTGATATTTCAGGCTTGAACTGCTCGGGTGGTGAGACAGTTCATCGTCGCAGCGCTGACAGAGAACTGTACTTCTTTCCAGCCCGCTGTCAGGAAAAGTTTTAAAATAAAAAATGTCCTGAATAATCTGGTGACTTCCATCATGTTTCTGCCCTGGCTGCAGTTCGCCTGGGTTCATCAGTTGTGAGCTGCCACGCAATGATGGCTCGACAACAAAGGCTCTCGTGGGTTGAGATGCGCGACGAAGGCCATCTAAAGCCAATAGTGATCAAAATCCTGCCTCCCTGCCTTAATCATTTATGTATAAATCATTAGTTACAGCTATAAAATCTATTGAATTTAGTTTTTACTTGCCTAATTTTCAATTAGTGCAAGATCTCTGTAATACTGAACGTATAGTTTGTTTTAAAGCAGTAATAAGAATCCTTGATTAAATGAAAAACCTTTGGTCTTTAAATTTATAATTCCTTAAAAAGCAAAAAATCAATTGGTTAAGATAAAAAGAAGTTTTATGTTTGATGTTGTGAAAAAAAAAATATATATATATGTTTAAATAATTAGCAACCAATATAAATTGGTTAGTTTTTTAGTTTACTGTTCAGCATCTAGTTTAAGAAAGAACTTGTTAAGTGAGAACCTAAGTATAATCAACAGATTTGACTTGTTTTTTGGTTGTTTTATTGGTCAAACCAGTCTTCTGGCTGTGTTTACTCATTCTACATGGTAGCTGTAGACATTTCTAAAGGTCTTGATCTGATGTAGTAAATATACTGCAGATAATGCAGGAAGACATTCCTGTTTAAGTAGAAGGTGATGCAGGGTAGAGCTTTGAGAACTAAACCAACTGGCTGCTCTCATCTCTTGCAGGTGGTCTGCCGTACGAGTTCAAGGTGGTGATCGCTGGAAACCACGAGTTGACCTTTGATAAGGACTTTATGGCGGAGCTGGTCAAGCAGGATTACTACAGATTCCCGTCGGTCTCCAAACTCAAACCTGAGGACTTTGACAACGTCCAGTCACTCCTCACAAACTGCGTGTACCTGCAGGACTCGGACGTCACCATAAAGGGATTCCGGATATACGGCGCGCCATGGTAGGAGGACTCTCTGCTTTCCTGCTTTGAACCTGACTTTCAAACTGTCTTTTCATAATCGCCAAGTCATGTTTTTGTCTCGTGCTACTGTTCCCTGAGGTAAAGGTGTGTCTCCTGCTCTGCCTGGCACGTTTCCAGCTGCCATCTGTGCAGTACCTGCTGCATGCTCTCAGCGAGGGGCCTCACTTACATGCAGGGTGCTATTCCCAACTCGCACATTCCTTTATGAGCTCAGGGCCTTCACCTGCTCCCCGGGCTTGTGTTACACCTGTGTTTTGACATGGGGTTAAGTGATACGCGTGGTACCAGGAGTCCTTGTCAGTAGTCTCTCGGGTGTGGAAGGAATGCTGGGAGGATGGTTGGATGAATGTAAGCATTATGTAATTAATATAAAAACAGGCAGATGGGAGATTTGTGCAGATGTGGTGATGAAAGACAACTCCCCTGAGAGTGGAGCTATCTTAGTGAACATACAAGGTTTTATTTCTCTCTCCGACAGGTTGTGTTGTTAGAAATAATAAATCCAGTCCTTTACTGAATAAATCCTGATTTTACCACAAATATTCTAAATTGTTTAACATCAAATTCAAAAGGAAACGGTTTTATATTGGTGCATATCGGCAGTGTATCTTTGTATTTCCAAACACACGGATGAATCTGTGTTTTGTGGGAACAGTTGAGTCTGTAGCTTATCTTTCACTCGTCACACACTATCCAGATTCTGTCAAAGTTTTATTACTTTGAAAAGATAAATGTAGTTTGTAACATTTTTCAAACATAATTCAACTTGTAGAAAAATGAAAATTGAAGCACGAGTTAAACAAGACGTCATTTTAATCCCAACAAAACAAGTTAAATATTATGCATAATGTTAAGCAGTATTTTTTAACAGTGAGTGTTATGCGGGAGATAACAGATCCAGTCTTCACATTCTTGTGTTCATTCATTTGATGAAGTTATTTAAATTCCAAATTTTACAACCTTAAAATCAGACTCAGTATTGTTAATATTAACTCTTTTAACTAGTTGTGGTACTTTTATTTTTCATAATACTGACAGATTTTGGGTTTGATACAAAAACACAAAGATTTGAAAATAAGCATTTTTATTCTTCTGAACTTTTTGTATTTGTTGGATCTGAACCTCTTAATGGGGCCGCAGGTTTTTGTCTCTGCGGGTGGTTTCGGTGCCCACTCCTGGTTCTGTTTGCTCTTGTAGTCGGGTCTGAGCGGCCGTCCCCTCAGGGCGTCTGACCAGTGTTTGCAGCGTGACCTCGGCTCGCCTGCACTTCATCTGTGTGTTTTGTTTGTTTGAGAGCCGAGGCTGCAGCTTCCAGCGTCCTGCTGCGACTCTGTTCTGCTCTCTCTGTACACGGGAAGTGAAATAGCTGCCCAGGAGCACACCTTCATCCTTTAGTGGTTATAATTAGCAGGTCTGCGGCCCGGCTCGCAGAGGTGGCAGAGAGGAGGCAGATCCCAGCATTCCTCAGATTTCACAGCAGCAGGAGGAAGAACCTACAGTTCTGTTCTGTCTCCCTGCCAGCTTTCTGTTTGAAAAAGGAAGGATGCCCCCCCCCCCCCCCTTCTCCCTGGTGGGTGTTTAGTGTGAGGGCTGGTAAGTGTCTGTTGTGACAGCTGGGGGTCTCATGAGAAGCAGAGTGGACAGCTTGGCTGCCCCCCGCCCCCTTCAGCTTCCTCACCTCCTTCACACCCATATGCCACCGTGGCCCGAGCTCTGGCCTGCTTGTCCAGTGTGAGGTCTCACTTAGCCTCTCGGTGACCCCTCACTTCATCAGCGGCTCGCTGCCTGTGTGGCCGAGCCCCCTACAAGACCTCAGCGGTCTGCTGGTGCAGGTCAGAGTTTCACAGCGTCACTCAGGAGTCGGAGGCGTTCAACAACCAGACGATTAATGCTGCGGTCCTCCGCTCTGCTGCTGCTGGAAGACAACGTTGGGTTCTGATATAGGGCTGATGGGTTTCATCTTAAATCACACATCAACATTTTGTAGTAGCATTTGTTTCTCATCCATGGTGATAAATACGGATGGGCGATATGGACTAAGAAATTTATCACAATAATTTCTAGGTTTTATCACAATAAAGATAAGTGACGATGTATATATCAGCCTAATCTTTTGTATTATAAATCTATGACTACATTCTCTCTTAAGAGCTCTAAAATAC